ATGCATCAATTTGTTTGAGAAACTCTGGCATGCAGAGAAGGATCAATAACAAGACAGCAGACATCACTCCCTAGTGGGTCACTACAACAGCTTTGCTCCATTCTGTTGTCTTTTTCACACTTTTCTGGTAGCTCAGTTCACTACTGTTACCTAGAGGTGCTAGAATAACCCTAAGGAGGGCAGTCACATTAGAGATGGTCCTGTCTTGCATCTGCAGTTAACCAAAGCTGTAGAGACTGAAACCAGTTGCCTTGCTGAAATTCAGAAATCTTCAAAATGGAAAACTTAAGGAAGAAACCTGATAATCAGACAGGTAGAAAGAAAGATGCAAAGTCTATCTCTCAGATTGCTGAAAGTCACACTCTCACAAGACACGGTACTTCACAAACATGGACAGACCTTCTTACTGTTTGCTGACTGCTAAGCTGAAAAGGGACTTTTTCTTGACAAATTAAATGGAAATTCTTAGGTTTGTTTTTTAAAAAAATCTGGCCTAATGGAATAACAGGCTAAGTGGCCTAAAAATAACAGAAAAGTTCATCTCCAAAAAACCCCAGTCCACTGTTTTGTCCTTGCTGCTTCACAGAACCTTTTTATATTACTGTGGGTCTAGAATAGTCAGCTGTTTGTTTCCATAAACAGCCTAGCTAAGTAGCAGATGTTTCCTTGGGCAGTTGTTCAATATACCTAGAAAAAAAAAATCCCTTTGCCTTCCAGGCTTCTGACAGCTTTGTTTCCAGCTCCTGACTTCTTTTCCCTGCTGAAATGCTCAACCTTTATAGCAGGCCTGCGCAACAGGTGGGCCGTGGGTCTCTTGCAGCTTGAAAAACCATTTGTTTGGCCCATCAGCTGCTGAGAAGCATCATGTACTGTTTGATTTGCCCAGCTGCCAAGAGGCAGCAACAAGATGTCCAGCAGAAAACGCATTATCTCATAGCTTGCCACTGATCTCTCAGAATGCATGTATCTCCTAGTCAGCCACCTGGTCAACCAGCAGACACATAGCTCCACATCATACACACGCACCGAGCTGCCCGTCAAAGAAGTGGCACAACAAGAAAGATTTGGGATATTCAGAAGTAGTATTTGGCAGGGGTGGAGGTTGAAACAGAGGTGGAAGGAAAATGGGAAAGCAACAATACAAGAGAAACTGAAACAGTGTTGAAATGGGTTGGCAGAGAAGGAATGTCACACGGGAAAGCGAAAATGTATTTTCACTCTGAAAATGACCTGATAAATCCATTTGAGAATCTTGGCTCAATATTAACTCAAGCACCTTTCTGCTCGAAGTCCCATGCAATAACAAATGAGTAACAAATCCATAGTACTTACTAAGCAACAATGAAAATGGAATAACTGATGAGCAAGTGTCAATTGAACAAAAATGCAGAATTTACAAGTTGATATATATATATATGTATTTTTACAATTTCTAAGATGTTTTAATGAGAAAAAAAAGCAAGAAAAAAATTGGTAAAAGGTATAAAGAATCAGGTGCTTTTCTTTTCTTGGATTTAATCAGTTAATACTGTAGAGAATGTATGACCATCAGTTTACATGGCATTATACAGATGAATGACCTCATCTTTGAGGAAATATGGGAGCAAATGGAATAGCTTTTGATTAAGGGGAAGGGGGACACAGAGAGGAACACACAGAAATAGAAAGATAGGAGATAGAAGCCCTGGAAGAAAGATGCAATTATTTGAAGGGACTCAATGGGAGGATAATGGATATAAAAAATGGACTTGATGCTGGTGATCACAGTCAATATTATAGGTGAAATAAATGAAGGAAAGATGAAAGAAAATACGTTTTAGTTAAATGTACTGCAAAGAGAACTGACGTCCCCAGAAAAGAAATAGATGTCCTGACATTTGAGGATAATGAAAAGTATTTTTAAAAAATTATTAGTTAATTTGAGAGTAGTCTTGCACTGGAAAATGTGTTCTATCTATGATTAGCAGCCAACAGTAAGCTTATCTAAGTTTACAAACATAAACCTATATGAAACTTAAGATTTAGAGAAATTAGGACAGGAAGTCTGATGCAGTTAGAATTGGATATAAAGACAGAAAGTGTGACTAGGAGGAGTGACTGAGGCTGGTTAAACACACAGATAGAAGCACTGGAAGACACTGTGAAAGGGAGCTTGCAATAAGAAATGGTTGGCTGACAGTAACTGAAATCAAAATTGGAGGAGACAGTGATTTGGACCTGGTAAAGAACAGAACCCAGTGGTTGAGAATAGAATGAAAGATGGGGGACAGAATACAGACGGGGCAAGAAAGTCAGGTAAAGCAATCTGAAGTCTCTTAGAGGAAGAAATATTGACAACTAATTGGATACATGGAATACGGATAGAGCCAATATCTGGAGATGTCTGGATCTTGATTAACAAGGATATTAGGTGTAAGAAGTTAAAATTAGAGGCTGGAATTATGACTAGAGAAATAGAAACTTGTACAGAAAGGTAAGGCAGAAAAGAGGCAAGAAAGAGATTATAAAATTTGGAAATGTACATTAGGACTGATACAAAGGCCAGAAATGAGGAAGAAACAAGAACAAGAAAGCTGGATGGAGACACTGTTAACAGTGATACAGGCTGGAAGAAAAATGAAAGGAATATTCTGTGCCCAAGAGCACGAAGCGTATCCCAAGACTGTATTTATTTATCTCAGTAAGTATCTGTGAAACCCTCATAGCAAAATGGTCATTCCTTAGACCACACTATTCATAATAAAGTATTACAGTTTATCAGTTACTTTGTTAGCTTTATCACTGTGAATCTAAAAATTCAAGTCCATAAGGTTGCCAGATGTCACCTCACAGTGAAACTTCTGACTTTGTAATTCACTTGCTAAAAAGAAAATCCTAGGAAATGGTTACCTACGACATTATTCAAATGGTGAAGCAAAACACTCAACTGTCAGGAAATGTCAAAATTAAGATTTAACATATGAAAGAAATTGAGATAATCATTCACACCTCTTCTGTAAAGCATGTCTAATGATGAAAGTATTATATATAAACCAGATATTATATAAAGTGTGAGAACACACTGAAGATAAAAAAGTATTAGATAGATATCCATTTACTCAACTACATCCTTGTCCCCTGCACTGAATGAGACAGGGTATTGTGAAAAATACAGTATCAAATCATATAATTAAAGATGATATCATGATACATACACAAAGACAGTTGAACAAAGGTGCGGAAGACAACCTTAATTCTACCATTTCCTAATTTTGGAATGCTTGACTTTACAGCCTTGATAATGGCTTTTTCCAATAAAGTTTTTGGTCTCATAAGAAATATCATCACATATTTTCACATGCTTTTGTCCAAGATTTATACATCAGAAATGGAATGGCGCGCACAAGCTTCACAGAACCACCAAAATTTCCTTTTCAAGGTGGAAGTCCTTCAGATAGCTATCTTTCAAACACAAATACAGCATGAAAGAATCAAGGACTATCGCTTGCTGAGATTATTACACTGACTTCATTTGTTGAAAAATAGATTAAACAAGTTTAAAGCAACACAGAAAACAGTTTAGGTTAGGTTTTCAGGCAAATGACTGAAGCTGTATCTAAGCATTTTTTATTAATGTGGAGGGCAACTGCAAGGCAGCTTTCCTCTAGTACTTGGGCAGCAAAATGCACACGCTAGGTTCTTGATATGGGCAAAGTTAAATCAATTTCTTTCTCATTCTTACTCAGTAGCCTTCAAAGGCCTTACACATAACTTCATACATGACTATGCAGTCATTGTGGTGAGTTGCAGTTGCTTTCTTTCTCTATTCCTGGATCTGCTCAACATCTCCATTTCCTGCCTTGTTCTTTCTGGGAGGGAAAAAGACAGAAGGCCTTGGAAGCCTTTACGTACATGGTAGCTGAGTGGCTCTTTTTCTTACATCAGGAAAGCATAGTCTGAGGCCATGTAGCATTACACTTAACTGCGTTGTTAATATGAGCCTACAGAAGAGGTGAAGAACCAGAAAAAGGTGCGAAGAAACTGTGGGAAAGGGCTTAGAAAGAATAAGTTCATTTTGCTAGGGGAGAGGGAGAGTAAAATAACAGACTCACTAGGAGAAAGGCTGATAATGTGGTAGAAGAAAAAGAAATATTTGCAGCAGAATAAGGAACTGAGGTATGAAATTCTGATTGACAGACAAAAGGAACAAAATTTGTGCTAGAGCAGAATGCGTAGTTGAGGAAGAATTGGCTGCAAGAGTGGAGCAGGACAGGAAAAATTTGAGGAAAGGCAAACAAACAGGTATTTGGGAAAGAAAAAAAGATAGGCTTGAGAATTCAGGGGAACTGAACAGGGTGAGAAGAGTGTTGGCAGAAAATGATGGAGCTGGTTTCAGAAGCAGCTGGAATGATGGCACGTAGAAATTTGAAATTAATCGGAAGAAAGTAGAAAAGGTACAGGCTGAGGCAATTGCTAGAAAATAGGAAAGAAATGGAGAAGACAAACAAAATAGAAGCCTGAGAGAGAGAAAATTTGGTTAAGCTTCCTGTTTGTATCAGGATAGCTTTGGGAGAAAAGCACAAAACAAATTGGGAGCTATTTGGGAAAAGGAAGACATGACAGGGACACCATGTGAAAAGAAGGGTCAATGGGGAAGACAGTGCAGAAGCAGATCATTTTTAGAGGAGTTTAGATAATGGGTAAAGGGAGTGGTGTTTAAATGAAATGAAGATGAATGCACAGGACTTGGGAGGGAAACCACTGGGAGACAGAAAATTAGGAATGTGGGATTTATAGAAGAAAAGAAAAATTAATAACGGAGGCAGAGACAAATACATGGTAAGTAACCAGATGAGGAAGAAAAAGTCAATGGAAATAAGAAAGTAAGAGCGGCAGTAAATGTCATTGTTCTAGTGCTTAGTAAGAGGTCTGGTAACAAAACAATATATAAAAGTCAAACATTATCTTTGTATGGTACCTTTTGTGTGGGATGAGGGGGTCTTGGGAAACCGGATTGGGAGCTAGGCATAGGCATCTAGTGAACCTACAATGTGTATGGAGAAGAGGATATCTGCTTTATTATTACTTTAAACAGAAGCAAGAAAGAAAACATTTAAAACTAGTGTCTACACCAGTTCCTAAGAACTTAGTATCTGTATCTGTTAAAAAATATGAGACTCATAATTGGGTTATTTATTATAATTATTTGTTAGCATTTTATGGGTATTCCAGCAAACATTTATCTACCCAATATTTAAAAAAACCCAAACCCAACCCTAAAATTTCCTATATTGCTCCTTTTTATAGTCTCATATTCAAATTTTTCTTATTATCTCTTACAAAAGACTTTACATGAACTAAAAGTCAATCTGAACGACTGCTACATGATGAAAAATATAACAGAAAATACCCCCTTATTGACAAATGCAATTATCTTTTACGCTTACATTAGTCCTATTCCTTACTCATCAAAGTGATAGTTAAAAATATCAACATTAAATATAACTTCAAGTTGACAAGTATCCTTATATTTATAATACACAGTAGGAAAAATCTTTATTTTTAATTAACATTTCCTTGCATAGTATTTTCTTAATTTCTGAAATTACAGTTGGTATTTCAATTATTTCACTTCCCCACAGAACGCTGCAGCTTTCCTACTTTTGTTTGCTTAGTTATAGAACTGCATAGCCTGCTTAATACAGTAAGCTGAAAAAAAAATAATGATTGTGGATAAAGAGACTTATTACCCCAGACATGCTTTGATACCGAGATACAGATATATTTTTGAGAGGAATAAGAAAGGCATAAGTATTTCCCTAGTAAGTATTTTTTCCCAGAACCTGAAACATGAAAGAGATAGTATTACATTCTTTATTATGGAATATATTATATATTCTATATAATAATTCTTCTACAGTATATACTAGAGTATACAAAATATCCTTTACAGATAAAATGTAAGGACTTAATTGAAATTTTGCAAAATTGGAAAGACATGGTCTTTGTTGCCCCATGAAATTCAAAAGAGCATTGGAAAAAATCCCATTTTCACCCATTGGAAAGCTTTTGTAGAGTTTTGCAGCTAAGTTCTCCAAGGAGCCCAGCTGTACTGAGCATGCTTTATCCTGATGCTGCAGGAATGAACCAGTTCTTTTCCTGCAAGTCTTTCTTGTCATTTCTGCAAACAACTCCCATGATACATATCGAAATAAGAACAGACTGCTCTCAGTGCTTCCCTCCCTGATATCCAGGCAGATGCAAAAGAAGAAACAGAATGTGTACTGAAAGCAGCAGGGAATGTGAGCTTGATGAGGAGGTAGGGAGAAGCAGAGAATACAGATGGAGATGTGGCACCAAACAGGAAAGGCTAGTAACGGGGAATGTCAACGCAGCTCCTGAAATGGCTGGAGAAGAGGAGGAGGCAACAGGAAGGGTCAGACAGAGACAGGGGGCTGAGGGCCACTGGGAGACAAAGAGTGTGTAATTAAAGAAATAATCAAGGTAGCATGAAGCTGGGTTGAGAATACAACGCTGGAAGAATGTCATGATAGGAAAAAAGAAACACAATGCAATGTAGAGCAAGGAAAGAATGAGATTAGTCATTGACAAAAGCTGGAATTGAAGTGAAGAAACTAGGAGGAACTGGGACAGAGACACAGGGATACGTGCTAAGGGGGACACAGAGAAAAGGGAGTTTATGGTGAAAGGGAATCCTCCTTTCAATACTGGAAGTGAACACAAAGAGTCCCAACACTTCACATTACTCATCTGTTAGTAACTATTTCTTGAACTATTTATGAAACCTGTCGCCCTATAATAGCTGATAGGGTTAGATACTGTGGTAGATCTAAAAGTTCTCAAATGTTGTATGATGATTACACTGAATATATGAAACTATAACAAATGACAACTCTATTTCTTGCTTCTTCTTTCCTTTTCCTTATAGAAACTTGGTTTAATTATATGTTAAGACTGCAAAGTAGAGACAGCAAATGTCAGAATTAAGGTTGCCTTTGCAACATGATCCAGTATCATGATCAGAACACATTACGGTCCAGTCTTCGATTAAATAATCATCTGTGAATTTTCTTTTAACCTGTACCACCTTGCACAAATGAATCAAGGAAAGGTCATCATTACTAAGAATGTTGCCTGTAAGTCCTTAATTTTATTTGTTCCAGAAATGAAAATACATGCAAATGAGTATCAGTAAGCAGAGGATAGCTAGAAAAGAATGAATAGTCATGGTTAAAAAGCTGTTCCTATGTAGTTTGGGATAAGACCTTTAGAATACATACTTCCAAAATACTCAGTAATTATGTGTTGCTCATATTAGAAATATCCAGCCTGGTATCTCAGCCCATAGGCAAAACAGAATTCAACAGGAACAGTGATTTGAATACGCCAAATACATTTGCCAAAAATGCAAAGTATCCTGAAAAATTAGGTCCTTGATACTTGAAAGTTACGCAATTTATCATCTTAATCTGTCTGTGATTCTATTTCCCAGCTTTTAGGAATGCTTTGAAAATAAAGTGATTAATGTTTGCAAAAAGCTCAGGTACTGCAGTGACTAGTGTAACAGAACGGTCTCCCAAGAAATTAGAAGTCTGTCTTTGCACCAAACAAAATAACAAAATGGCTGGATTAAAACAAAATGACCTAATGACTCAGTTCTTCCTCAACGAATTAGACCAAAAGGTGCTTTGAATAAGGCATGCATTTTATGGGAAGGAAAGCAGGATTCTGGAATAACAGACCTCTGAACATGTACCCACTTCCCAGGCAACATTTAATCTGGCATACTCCAGCTTCTGAGTTCTTGACTTTGCAGACATAACTTGCTTTAAATCTAAATGTTTTTGTTTATATACACGTCTGTCTTTTGTAAGAACTTATTGCCTCTTTTGTATTTGTTTTTATGCTCAATACATTAAAAGCTTGTTGACTTTTTATTCTGTTGTTACAGCCTCCTCGTGTCACACCACTCCTTAGGAGTTGGAAAATGTGATTAAATAACACACAGATGTCAAATGATACTGTTAAGATGATTGACTTCGAAATGTAAAACAAAGGCAATTGAGAGTGATTATTGGAGTTAATGATTTTAGGCTTGCCTCTGAAAAATGCACCTTCATTTACAATTGTAAACAAATATTATTTTTACTGTTTAGCATTCATGTAGGTAGATTCAGCCTGTTGACTAGAGAAGACATTATAACATAAATACTATCTTAAAAATTTGCTCTTTACTAATATCTTGGTGTTTGCAATATATATATATACACACACATTTAGATTCACAGGGGAAGTAATAAGGCTCTCTTTAGTATTTCATGTATAAATTTACTCTGCAGATTTGTTTTATTAAAATGTGAATAATGGGATATGGTAAATGAAAAATTCAAGAAGGGAATAAACAGTTTATTTATCGCTTATGCTCAGAGTAGCTTATTGAAGTACACCTTTCAGTAACTGCCACTGAGTATTAGCTATGAAATTCTCATCATGCCTTGAACATTACACATTAGGTTTAGCCATTTGTATAGTTAAAAGGCTCAAAACATTTGAAACGTACCTTTAAAAACACTGTTATCTTGAATGTAACTATACATATTCACAATAACTGCATTCAGTATGTCTGAGATTCAACCCAATATTGGCTCAAATTAATTATTCTTCTTTAATTGCTCTGTATAAACAGAAATGACCTAATAATTTAAAGAAAATCTATCAGCACAGAATGTATTCTCTCTTATAAACAAGCAAGATGAACTTGACCTTGTTTGAACTTGTTTTGATGTGGCCCAGATGGTAGGCTACATGCTTGAATAGCAGTCTAAAGCTGAGGAAAAACTCATATAGCAAGATCTAGATTTATAGCCTTTTGCAAATTCCTACCTTGTATTGTCCTTTCAGCATCTGTTCTGCCCCCGCTGCGGTCAGCTTCTATCTCTGGGGTCAGAGAGTCTAGAAACATAGAAAGGTAAGACTGAGACATATTTCATTTGATTCTTATAGCCCTTTTTACAACCTGTTACTCCAATGCTGAATTACAATACAATCAACCTTTGTCAGTTTTTTTAATGTTGAACAATGACTGGAGGCCAGGACAATTTTTTGTTAGACTAGGAAGATTAATGAGCAATAGATTTTTCAAGCATAAAGGGGGGGAGAAAAAGAAGAAGAAAAAAAATTGACTTCTCAAGCTAATAATACAAAATTGTCCTAGTTTGAACATTCTCTCCGGCGAGTTTATTTGCACATACTATATAAAGTAACAAAACAGTAAAGAGAGAGGCATCACATGAATGAAGCAAAGAATATTTTCTTTTTTTTCCCTCCCGTCATGTTACAAATTTTCAATATAAGAAGCTTTTTTTGGCACTTCAATTGAAAGTTAATGACACAGAGGCAAAAATTGGCTTCTTACCATTTAGGACCCTGAGACTATCTGTTGAAGCTGCCTGTTTCAGTGTCTGTTCTGCTTGCTCCCGTCGTTTAGTCTCAAATTCAAGTGCTTCCTGCAATTTCCTCTTTGCCTTCTTTTCCTTCTTTAGTCTCTTCTGAATTATTGCTAGGAAAAAAGAAAATCTGTGTACTCAGATTTGGATCTGATACTTGCCTACACAAATACCTATTAAGAGTCCCGCGAAATGCTATCCCTGCAACAGCTCATAAAAATCTATTCATTACACAACATCAATTTAAATTACTTGAAATTTGCTGGAATCACACTGGGATATTTGAAGAGCTACTGTTCTATACCATGATGTTGAAAACTACAGGTGATATTCAGCTATAGCATATATTTTTTTCACAAACAGATCAGAATCTGTGAATGTCCAAATCAGAAAACCTTGGTACCCGCAATGAAGTGTGCTTTTCACATCATCTGATGCAGAAAAGCCTCTGTCTGTGGAGGTGAGGTGTTTTTTCGGGATGAAGTGCACCATTTTGTTCTTGCCCGTAGCACACAGATAGTATACACAGAGCGATGAAGTTCTTGCCTGCCTGCCTGTAGCTTCTCTCCCACAAGAGGGAGATGCGGTTGCTTGGGTGCTGGGGCTGCAGGAGGAGCTCAGCCCCCATCCTGCTGTGGTACTCATACCTCAGGGAAAGGCCCTGAGCTTTCTAACTGCCCTCCAAGCTGCTGCTTCCTGCAAGCCGTGTGACCTCTTGGTGCCCAGTCTCTCCCCCCTATTTATTCCTCATCCACATTTCCCTTTGTCTTTCCCTTTTCTCTTTGGTGCTGTCAGCTCCTGTCCCATCAGCCAGCTAACCCTGAAGAACTCATAGCAAACCCTTTATGGTACTGGATCCCTCAGCCAAGTAAACATTACTTTGCTTTGTCAAATGTGAGGGAAAATATCAGGAAAGGAAGGGATATAACCAGGCCCGGCATGCCGGGGTTGGGGGTGAGATCGATAGCCCAGCAGCTCAAGTGCATCTACATCAATGCACATAGCAGGGGAAATAAACAGGAGGAGCTGGAAGCCATTGTGCAGCAGGACAGCTATGACTTGGTCACCACCATAGAAACATGGTGGAATGACTCTCGTGACTGGAATGCTGCAACGGATGGCTACAAGCTCTTCAGAAGGGACAGGCGATGAAAGAGAGGTGGTGGGGTGGCTCTGTATGTTAGGGACTGCTTCGATTGTATAGAGCTGAACGATTGTGATGACAAGGTTGAATGCTTATGGCTAAAGATGTGGGGGAAAGCCAACAAGGCAGACATACTGCTAGGAGTCTGTCATAGACCACCCAACCAGGGTGAAGCGGTAGATGCAGTTTTCTATGACAGGCTGCCAGAAGTCTCACAATCGCTAGCCCTTGTTCTCGTGGGGAACTTTAACTTATCGAACGTTTGCTGGAAATACAACACAGCAGAGAGGAAAGAGTCTAGGAAGTTCCTGGAGTGTGTGGAAGATAACTTCCTGAGGCAGCTGGTAAGTGAGCCTATCAGGGGAGGTGCCTCACTAGACCTGTTGTTTGTGAACAGAGAAGGACTGGTGGGAGATGTGGTAGTCAGAGGCCATCTTGGGCTTAGTGACCATGAAATGACACAGTTCTCGGTTCAAGGTGAAGTTAAGAGGGGGGCCAGCAAAACCACCACCGTGGACTTTCGGAGGGCAGACTCTGGCCTGTTCAGGATGCCGGCTGAGAGGGTCCCTTGGGAGAGGGAAAGTCCTGAAGGGCAAAGGGGTCCAGGAAGGCTGGACATTCTCCAAGGAGGAAGTCTTAAAGGAACAGGAGCAGGCTGTCCCCATGTGTCGTAAGACGAACTGGTGGGGAAGACGAATGGCCTGGATGAACAGGGAGCTCTTGCTGGGAGTCAGGAAAAAGGGGCGTCTACCACCTATGGAAGAAAGGGCAGGCGACTCAAGAGGAGTACAGGGGTCTCGTTAGGTCATGCAGAGAGGAAATTAAAAAGCCCATCTAGAACTGGCCACTGTTGTAAAGGACAACAAAAATGTTTTTGCAAATACATCAACAACAAAAAGAGGGCCAAGGAGAATCTTCATCCCTTATTGGATGCAAGGGGGAATATTGCCAACAAGGATAAGGAAATGACTGAGGTATTTTATGCCTTCTTCGCCTCAGTCTTTAACAGTCAGACTGGTTATTCCCAGGGTACTCAGCTCCCAGTGCTGGAAGATAGGGAAGGAGAGCAGAACAAACCTCCCATAATCCAGGAGGAAGCAGTTAATGACGAGCTATGCCACCTGGACACTCACAAGTCTATGGGGCCGGATGGGATCCACCCAACAGTGCTGAGGGAACTGGCGGAGGAGCTGGCCAAGGCACTCTCCATCATCTGTCAGCAGTCCTGGCTAACAGGGGAGGTCCCAGATGACTGGAGGATTGCCAGTGCAACACCCATCTACAAGAATCCCAGCAAGGAAGATCCCGGGAACTACAGGCCTGTCAGCCTGACCTAGGTGCCGGGCAAGATTATGGAGTGATTCATCCTGAGTGCACTCACTGGGCATGTGAAGGACAGCCAGGGGATCAGGCACAGACAGCATGGGTTCTGACTTCCTTCTATGACCAGGTGACCTGCCTAATGTATGAGGGAAAGGCGCACAGAGAGTGGTGGGGAATGGAGTTAAATCCAGCTGGCGGCTGGTCACGAACCTCTGAAAGGAGGTTGTAGTGAGGTGAGTGCTACTCTCTTCTCCCAGGTAACTAGCAACAGGACAAGAGGCAATGGCCTCAGGTTGCATCAGGGGAGACTTAGATTGGATATTAGGAAAAATTTCTTTACTGAGGGAGTGGTCAGGCATTGGAATAGGCTGGCCAGGGAGCTGGTTGAGTCACCATCCCTGGAGGTGTTCATAAAAGCTCTAGATGTGACACTTCGGGATATGGTTTAGTAGGCATGGTATTGTTGGGTTGATGATTGGACTTGATGATCTTAGAGGTCTTTTCCAACCTATGATTCCATGATTCTATGATTTTAAAATTAAGCATTAGAAGGCCCTAATTTAGAAAGATTTTTTCCTTGTATCTCTTCAGTTCAAATTTTACAAGGAAAAGCACTGCAAGATCACAATGAAACTTTACCACAATTTTCTTTTCTAGGTTACCAGTAATTTACAACCACAAAAGTAAGACTTGCAATATCCCTAACTGAAGGAATATATCACAGGTTATGTTCCCGATGAAAAAGGATAATGTCAACCAATTTTTCTACTCGATAAAAGCCAAAGTGAGCCTCCAAAGAAATCATATAAAGTCGCAGAGCATATCATTATCTCCCCCACCACACCCCAACCCGTATTAGATAGCACATTAAGGGTTTTCAGGGATGCGCATGTAAGAAGCTTATTTCTCATAAGATCTTCCTGGATAACCCTTTCCTGGAGGGTCTTGTTTTTTGACAGTAACCAAAAAATTATCTACTAAATTACTCACAAAAGAATTCTTTATACACACTAAAAGAACTATCCTTACCAAAACCAGATACTAGGTGATACTAGGTTTGACTGCCAAGGTCTGTCTAGCCCTGTCTGTCACCCCAAAGCAACCTCTGGTACATGCCTAGGGATAAATGCTGGCAAACATAAAAAAAAATCCACTTCCACCACTTCATACTCCCCATTTCCAGTAGTCTGTGATGGTGGTATCTTTCAGAAAATGCAGATAATGAAACTTTTAAAGGGAACTGCCGATGTTATTACTGTTTGATTTATATGCTAGAATAACCACTTTTTGTGTGATCTTAAATATTTTGTGTTGCTGTACAAAACCGTTCAGACACAAAATGAATATAAGCACTTGCACTGCAGTCACAACAGTTACATAATTTACATCCAAGACTTTGGAATTTTGGTTCTTTCTCATTTTGTATAATACCAACTACTTTACAGACTAATTAGCTTATACTATCAAAGAACAACTAGCATCTATACAAAGGCTAAACTAAATACATTTTGAATCATTGCACAGTTTTAATGTTTTCATTATAAGTACTTTGAAAGTGATTGCAATAAATGAGAAGGAAACATATGTTGCTTTCTGAATTAAAATGTCATCATGGCTGACACATTGTAGATGTGACTACAGCAGTCAGAGCCAGAATTAGCAAGCCCTTACTGTGTAGCTGCTCACAGAAGAGATATTATCCTACTTTCACTAGTTGATGAGACACATCCTACAGCCTTAGGAATCACTAATTGGAGTATTTACAAAGAAGGAAGGAAACAGCACAGTAAATAAGCAGCTCTGTAGAACATACAGTAGTAGCAGTGAATTTAACATTCCAAAAAAAATGGCAAAAATATGCAGATGTAGCCACTAAAAAAGATATTTAAAGTGTTAACATGATGAGCAAAAGACAGATGTTACCGAATGCTGAAGATACCATTCACCTGATGGGTTTTGACCTGTATGCGACACAGCAACTCGTGTTTCTATGCTGCAGTTTTCAAGTATATTTCAGCTTTTTCATATGGTATTTCTTAACAGAGATATGGTACACTTCTCCCATCTTGCTCATGCTTCCATTAAGACATGTGAAGGTTTTTTTGACATGACAATTGCTACCTCGAAAAATAATGGTAGGTAAAGCCTCCTATGTATTTTTCTACATTTAAATGAAGAATAAATTCTCACGATAATTACAATCTGGCTTTATTTTTTCTCTCCTACTTGGATCTGCTCATTTTAAAGAATAATCAATTACTTTTCTTTCTTTTCCACAGAAGTATCCACTAGCAGAGATAGCCGTCCTCATTATATTTGCTTTGCTGGATACCACCATTAAGTGTTCAGATCCATTCCTCTTTGGTCTGAATCTTTTACCAGTGCAATATCATCATTAGAGGGATACATATAAAAAAGCAGGTAATGCATCATGCTGAAAATAACATTGTCAATTGTTTCAGCACCCTGAACAAAATAAGGGACTATCCCATGCTCTTTCCTGACATACAACTTTGAGTGAAATTCATTTTGCTTAATTTTAACAGCTCAAAACATATGTGCCTAGTCCAGTCGAGTCAACTATACTCCCTCTGGAGTTAAAGGGAAGAGAAAGCAGTCTTCACCATGTAATTGACCCCACCTACCTGTCTGAGAACAGGATATATGGATCTCTTTCTTTATTGACCAGAAAAGGAACTTATATTAACTTTAATGAGGTACTTAACTTTTAGATGGCAAAACTCAAGTAAGGTCAGATGGGCCCCCCCCACCTTTTCTACTGTGCATGTGATTGCAGGAATATATGTTTGAGTAGTTGTGAGACACAGAGGTAGAAGCATATGAAGAAAAACTGAGTTCTTTCATAAAACTACTTTAAAAGCGTAAGTAAGTAGTGCAGTACCGAGCAAAACAGGCCAGCTGTGGACAAAGGGATAATTCATTGCACAGTTTTGATAACCGTTAATAGCAGCTGTCTTTAAAAACATATTCTCAAAAGTTAAAAAAGGCAGTTAACGATGTGACGTTCCTGCTCTTTAACGAGTCCAGGCATGAAACAGCATTACATTGTGTACTTACTGCTAGAATGATAGTTAAGGGTATAATGATATTGGTTGTGAATCCAAGTGAAAAATGTTGAGAAAAAGGAAGATCCTTGTTCTAAATCTCATGAAGATCCTACGCAAAATCAGGCAGGCTTGTAAAACCTCCTGCATTGCAGTCAGCTTGAACATAACATGAGGTAAGGGGGAAAGTTTTGATCAAACACAGGTGTTCGATCAAAAATTAGGTTTCCCGAGGAAATAAATTACAAGGTGTTTATGTCTGCTGAATTAAGATACCTCTGTTCTTCTGCTCCACAGCCAACTGTTTTTCAAGTGTTTCCCTCAGTTCTCGTTCCCTGAATAGCTCCATCTTCAGCTCTGTCTTTTCCAGTTGGACCTGTTTCTCTTGAGCTCTGGCATTGTCTATAGCAACCTTTAGTAGACCCTGTTCAAAGAAAAAGATGGATAATGTTTGAAGTATGTTAGAACAGCTGACATAATAAATAAATTCTGTTATTTTTCCTTGATTAGTCATATGAGATTTTACAAATGAAATAATCCTCTTACTGGGTCTAAGCCTCCCAACTATCAACTCATTTTTTTTACAGGAATTAATTTTAATAGGTGGGCAAAAATCTGTAAAAAGCCAGGAGCCACATTTTCCCAGAAAATGCAGACTCATCTTTGACTGTGCATATAGCTAATGTGACAGAATTACAGAGACAGGTTCACTATTTGTAAGACATAAAAGAGACAAGCCTACATCAGGCATTTGCCTATGACCAAAACAAAAAGCTGTCCCACTGAAAAAGAACTGGCAGTCTCACAATCACATCGTCCACAGAACAGCAAATTCAATCGCTAGCACAGCTCAAGCGAATGGAAATTACCAACGGGAGAAAAGCTTTTTTAAAGGCTTGCCATTACTTTACTCCTTACTGTTGTTAATTATTATTATTTTCAGATATTTATATATTTCATAGAGTTTCCAAGGAAGATAGGGTTACTGGGATGCTAAGCAGAGGACAGTCATAAAGTAGAAAGATATCTTTGTTTCAGAAAGTCCATTCCCTGACCCTGTACAATTGTTAGTTCACAGTAGACAATAAAATGCAAAAATTTCTCAATTTGTTGAGCTGGGATGGTTGAAATAAACTCTACGTTTTTTTGTTGTTATTGTATCAGGAAATAATGATGCAGACTATTCTAAAATCCTCTTGAGAACTTCAACTTCACAATTCCTTCTTTTTTGCAAGGGAGCAGGAAAATCCTGGCACAGCTAACAACTAGATAGTTCGGACGCTGAGACAGGGTATGAAAAAGAGGAGGAGAAACGGAACTGAAATAAATTAATATAGATAGAGGAAAGACTAGCTTTTCCATTTTTCAAAAGCCTGGCCATCAAGCTCTTCGGTCTACACCTGAATCTCACCCCTTGAAGCTACGATAATAGAGTAGATAATTACGCATGGATATGCATATATGAACCTCCATGGACACAAACCTAACTTCTGTACCCTGCATCCTAGGCAAGTCTCCTGACAACTTAACTGTAGAGATAATTTGACCCAATAGAGATTTAATTACTGATATAAAGTAAAACAATGACAACAACAGGGACTGAAGAGCACTCCCCAATAGCTCTGCTAGGGAAGCATTCCGGTAGCAGATAAAAGGGGCACACTCAAGACCCATTTTCGGAATCACCACACTACCGACACGAAACCATGTCCCCCAACTCCCAAGTAAGCTTCCTTATCCCTCAGGCATAAATCCTAAATTGGATTCAGGGCTGCGTGTTTTTTCACTAAAATTGTTTGAAATATCTACAAAAAGGAATGGAAAAAGAAGTCAGCATGATGATACCTGAGAAACAAAAAGTATTTTTTATGAGCATTACTCTTCACATTCATCCCACCAGTCTTCCCAATGTCAATGCCTGCTTTGAAATTTCTGTCCGTCAAACTCCTCAAGTCAGTTTTCAGAGCCTGCTATTTTCAGTACACCTCATTCTCATTCTTAACTAAATTGTTGCTTTAAGTGTTGTTCCACTAACAGCTTAATGTTTTGCAGCTTTATTACACTTCTATCTATTATAGTCCATGGGAGCTGAAAGAATTTAACACCTTCTGACCGCAAAGCCCAGATGGTCACCAAAATGATACACACTGCATAAGCACAGAACCACTTTTGAAAATACCTGACAACGGTAACACAACAAATGTGCTTCTAAACACGTTTAAAGTTGCAGCAGTTTTCTATGAAAGAAGGAAGCTCAGGAAGTGTGGTCTAGATGAGTGAACAGTGAGGTGCACTGAGAACTGGCTGAATGGCAGCGCTCAGAGGGTTGTCATTAGCAGAGCTGAGTCTAGTTGGAGGCCGGTAACTAGTGGTGTCCCCCAGGGGTCAGTACTGGGCCCAGTCTTGTTCAACTTCTTCATCAATGACCTGGATGAAGAGTTAGAGTGTACCCTCAGCAAGTTTGCTGATGACACAAAACTGGGAGGAGTGGTGGATACACCAGAAGGCTGTGCTGCCATTCAGTGAGACCTGGACAGGCTGGAAAGTTGGGCAGAGAGGAACCTGATTAAATTCAACAAGGGCAAGTGCAGGGTCCTGCACATGGGGAGGAACAACCCCATGCATCAGTACAGGCTTGGGG